GCACTTACATCAGACATATGGGCTTGTAGATCAAAAACCGATTTTTTAACTGTCACAGTACATTTCTTAGATCATAATTGGGGTTTACAACAAAAATTGATAGGTTTTAAACCATTATATGAAAAACATAGTGCTGAAACTATTTATTTTACAATTCTTGAAGTTTTGCAAGAATATTTATTAACTGATAGAGTTGTAGCGCTAACGCTTGATAATGCAGCTGCTAACACCGCGGCAATATCTTTATTTGAAAAGAAATTGGATCCGCTTGGTGAAGGCAAATTTTATCACCAGAGATGTGCTTGTCACATCATCAATTTGATAGTTAAAGCAGGTTTAGATGCTATACATTCAAAGATGGAGAGGGTGCGTAGAGCTATCGGATTTATCGTCGGCGGTAGCAATAAAAGATGGTAGGAGTACATCAAATATTGTAAGCAAGAGGACCCACCGGTTCGACCTTTGAAGTTATGTACAAACATGCCTATCCGTTGGAACTCTACCTACTTGATGTTGGAAAAAGCTTTGCCAACCGCGAAACAAATTACAGATTTCGTCAACCGGAAGAACTATCCAGAGGAAGTTGTCAACTATGATGATTGGGCGGTTTGTGAACTTTTTTATTCATTTCTTAAAATTTTTTATGATGCTACTAATACATTAAGTGGTATTTATTATCCAACTACTAATTTAGTGTTAGATATTTTAGTTCAAATTGCTAAAACTTTTGATCAATATAGATATGATAACATTTTTAGTGAAATTGTTTCAAGTATGGAAGAAAAATATAAGAGATATTGGTTAGATATTCCATTCTTATATGGATTAGGCCTTTTTCTAGATCCTAGGTTTAAATTATCCGTAGTTAACGGTGTAATTACTGAGTTAGGCCATTATTTAGGACATGATTATACGTCTTATTTGACTGACTTTAAACACAAATTGGATAGGCTTTTTTCTTTATATGAGAACAGATACAATGGAAGTAGAAGTGGAAGTGGAAGTGGAACGTCTAGGAGAGGCGATCAGGACCTTGATGCAGCCCCCCCTCAAGGATCGAGCAAGTGGGCGTATGTGGGACGTGGCGGAAGCTCCAGCTCTAGCTCCAGCTCGTACATACATAGACCAAATGAGATGACTCGCTACCTACAGGTGGACTTGACCTTTATGACGATGAAGGAGCAACTTGACATGGATATTCTTCAATGGTGGGACCAACATGAAAGTCGATTTCCCATTATATCCCAAATGGCATGTGACATTTTATCTGTGCCGGTTTCTACAATTGCATCCGAGTCAACATTTTCAACGAGTGGTCGGATTGTTGAAGACAGAAGATGTTCTTTAACCGATGAGATGATTGAAGTGATAACGTGTTTACGGGATTGGACTCATGCAGAAAGAAGACTATAACAGCACCCTAAAGATCCCGAACTACTCGAACTCTTTAGGAATACAGCTCTGAATAATGTAACTAGTGTTGACGATGAAATTGAAGATGAATAATTTAATAAAAAAAATTATTTAATTGTTTATTTGTGAAGCGTAAATGTGTGAAATGTGAATATTACATTTATGTTAAAAATTAAAATTAACTATTAACTTATTATTTTTTAAAGATAATTAAATTTTTAGAAACTTACTAATCAACCCCTAAAAAAATACTAAAAACCCTCTATAAAACTTCATTTCGCCTCTAAAATATAAAAAAATATCAGGGGGGGAAAAAATTATCCAAACCCATAGGACCGGTCTTGGGCCCATAGGACCAGTCCTGACCAGGCCTAGGGCCTGTTCCGGGTTCTGATTTTTCTCATGGGCCTAGGACCGGTCCCAGGCCCATGAGTGACTGGTCCCATTTGGGACCAGTCCCAAACGGGCCCAGGCCTGGGCCCGCAAGGTACCGGTCCCTGCCCAGCTCTATTCACTAGCATTGGAAACTTTGTATTTCCTCCATTGTGACTGGGAGGGTGATTTAACTTAGGTGTTCAGGACGATTTTTTTCTCTATAATGTGGATGCGAATTTGTTCTTGAATTTAGCGATTGTTTAAGAAAAAGAGTGTTGACATCTGACTATCTCATTAATCGACTGTCTTTCTATACTCTATGCTTGGATTATATTTCTCATGGTACTGTTCTTTGTTGTTCTCGTTGTCCTGATTGCTAGAGATTTCTCATCTTTGACTAGTAGACCTGGCAAACGGGCGGGTGTACCCACGGGTCAATGGGTACCCGTACCCAACAGACGGGTATGGATAACACATATTTTGACCCGTGAGAAACTGACCCGTACCCGAGATGGATCGGGTACTACCCGCGGGTATCCGTGGACCCGCAAATTTGAAATTTAAAAAAAAAAAAATTATCACTCGTCTCACTCTCAACTCAAACCCTAATCTAAACCAAAATAGCAAAACTTATTAGTGAAAAAAACAAAAAACGCAGCAGCTCATTCTCTTCTCTCACAGGCCACAGTAGCTCCATGACCACTCCTCAGTCCTCTCACAGCAGCTCCACTCCCTCACTCTCTCACTCTCACAGCAGCTCCACTCTCCCTCATTCTCTGACTTCTCTCACGGTAGCAGCAGGTCACAGCAACCCATTCTTTCACGGCAGCAGCAGATCTCCTCTCACGGCAACACCAACACGGCAGCAGCAGATCTCCTCTCACTTGTCAATAAATATATAAGGTCTCATAAGAACTCTATAAGTTATTATTAAAAAAATGAGTTGACCGAAAAATTGGAAAAGTAAATAAAAATGAACTGAAACATGTGAAATGATGTCAAGTGTCAGGAATAATTACTGATATGAAGAATAAAATGTTACTTTCGTCCAAAATTGATATAGTATTTCTATGGTTGCAGACAAAAAAGACTTAGAACTGAAATCAACAAGCAAGTTGGACCAACTTCCTCGGCCACCTTCTCAATCCCCACAAATCAGTTGTGACAGATTTCACCATAATTATGATTTATGCGTAATCACCGGTCCTACAGTTCTTGACTCCACAACATCTATTTTGTTCCTTGTCGACTCTTCCACCTCAACACCGCCTTCAATTGTTGAAAAAAATTAGGCCTTACCCTCGAAAATGGGAGAAGTTTATGATGAACAGAATCAAAGAACTCACCATAACATCAAGCCTCAGAAAGTCCAAAATGTGAAGTGCAGCACCATGTTCCAACTTTAGTATTTAGTGTAGGCGGGTATACTGGAAACTTTTGGCATGAATTTAATGACGAGTTCATTCTCCTCTTTATCACCCGTCAACTCAATCTTCCCTGATCAAGATTTTGTTCTTGTTATCAGTAAAGCTCGTGATTGGTGAAAAAGGTGTAAAATGTAAAAGGTTGCTGCCATTTTCACGGGTGACCCGCGGGTAACCCATACCCTCATGGGCAGGTACAGATCATGAAAATGTCGACCCGTGAGATTTTTTCACCCGTGAACCCACGACCCATTGCTACCCAGACCATACCCGCCCAACCCGCCCGTTTGCCAGGTCTATTGACTAGTAGTGAAACGGTCGAATTGACAGATTAATGGAAACTGTATGACTTAAGAGCATCTCCAACAATGCTCTTTTTTTTAAAGAACATATTTTATATAAATAAAAAGTATTTTTATTAATTTCTAAATATAAAGAATAAAATTTTTATTCAAATCTAATGGACTGTTTAGGCTGTGTTTGTTTTATTATTTTGAGTAGGATTTTTAAAAAAGTTGAGTTGAGTTTTTATTACGAGGCATGATTTAAAAACTAACAAAAACACCCCATAAGTTTGTTAATTTAGCTAAACACCCCCTATAATAAAAAGTTTAAAATTTAACAAAAACACCCCCACCCACCCACATTTGCCAAATTTCGGCCACCACTGCCAGAAGGTAGCCGAAATCTACCATAATTTTGCAGGACTGGTTAGATCTAGCTGGTTGTGCATCGATATGACCTTTTTTGGCCAGATCCACTGTGGATCTGGCCACATCTGGTCGTCAACATGGCCGTCGTTGACAACCAGATGTGGCCAAAGATCTGGCCGTCAATGGCTAGATCTTTGGCCGTAGATTTGACCTTTTTTGGCCAGATCTATGGTGAATCTGGTCAAAAAAGGTTAGATTGACGTACTACCGTCAGATCCAATCGGTAGTGTGACATTACGATAGATTCCAGCCACCTTCCGGTGGTGGTGATCAGAATCTGACATATGTGGGTGGGTAGGGGTGTTTTTGTTAATTTATAAAATTTTTTTGTTGAGGTGTTTAGTTAAATTAATAAAGTTAAGAGGTTTAAAAATAGTTGAATAGAATATGATTGAATTTTGAAGAGAAAACAAATATGCATTTTTGGGTAGAATAGAAATATTATAGGGAAAAAGAAAGTAAAATAAACAGGCTGACATAATATGAGAAATAATTAATAAATAAAATGCTGTTACATTCATTCTAATGGAATGTAACAGCCTTGGTTGACTAAGGGGGTGTTTGTCTAAGCTTATAAGCTGGTCAAACTTGCTTATAAGCTCTAAAATTAAGCTGACCTGTTTGTTTATAATTTTTTTGAGCTTATAAGTTGAGCTTATAAGCTAAAAAAAATAAGTTGGGAGGGAGGTACTTTTTTGTTTTGGCTTATAAGCACTTTGCTTATAAGCTAGTTTGACCAAGTATATTACCATATTATCCTTATTTAATTTTAAAATTTCATAGTTTGTCTTTTTTTAATGTATTACTTTTTTTAGTAATTTTATAATAAAATGTACTTATAATCCATATTTTACCAAACACGTCAATTACTTATCAGTCACTTATAAGTACTTTAACCAAACACGTAATTGCTTAAAATTTTAAATGCTTATAAGTTAATTTTAGCTTATAAACAATTATTGCTTATAAGCTAATTTTCATAAGCTCAGACAAACACCCCTAACCTTATAGACAAAAATGTCGATAACTTCTTGATAAAAAGTCCAATGCATCAAATCTTCTTGCTCACAAATAATGCTTCTTAGAGCAAAACCCACTTCCCGCCATCTCCCACTTGCTGAAATTATCGACCCAAAACAGCTACTAACTGAAAAGCTCCTGTCCCTCTTGAAAAAATGTTCATCAACAAAATCACTTCAACAAATTCATACTCAAATGCTTATTCACTACATTCAAAAACCCAACTTCCTCCTCTCCAAAATCATTGAACTAAAAGACGTCAACTACGCTTCAACTCTTTTCTATCACCTCCCCAATCCTAATGACTACGCTTTCAATATAATGATCCGTGGCTTCACAACCACATGGAAAAATTACTCTCTTTCTCTTCAGTTCTATTATGAAATGAGAGCTTTAGGCTTGAAACCAAATAATTTTACATACCCATTTTTGTTTATTTCGTGTGCGAATCTTTCTGCATTGAATCATGGGGTTTTGGCTCATTCGTGTGTGTTTAAGATTGGATTGGATGGTGATGATCATGTTAGTCATTCTTTGATTACCATGTATGCGCGGTGTGGTGAATTGGGATATGCCCGGAAGGTGTTTGATGGAATTCTTATGAGGGATTTGGTGTCGTGGAACTCGATGATTTCGGGTTATTCGAAGATGGGGTATGCAAGGGATGCGGTGGAGTTGTTTGGGAGGATGAGGGAGGAGGGGTTTGCACCGGATGAAATAACGATGGTGAGTGTTCTTGGGTCGTGTGGGGACTTGGGGGATTTGGGGCTAGGGAGGTGGGTGGAAGAGTTTGTGGTGGAGAACAAAATGGAGTTGAACTCATTTATGGGGTCTGCGTTGATTGATATGTATGGGAAGTGTGGAGATTTAGTGTCTGCGAGGAGGGTCTTTGATGTGATGGTGAAGAAGGATGTGGTTACATGGAATGCTATGATCACAGGGTAAGTGATGGTTTTTGCTATATACTTGCTTTACTGTTCTAATTTACTGGTGGTCAACTGTGATATAAAAACTTGGAGTTGTTTGGAGTTTTACTAAAAATAAAATTGCATTGAGAAATCTCAATAAACTTGCTTTACATGCTTTGAGGTTACGCTATGCAAAGTAATGTTGGCTTTGGTTTTTAATCGAACACTTTTCCGTCGTTATTCAGAGAATTATTTGGAGAACAAGTAATTGTACCTTGTAGTTGTCATGCAATCATAGAAGTCTTGGGCTGACATACACAAGAATGTGAGTTGGAGCTCTGAGAGGGGTCTATTTTATGCAAAGTTCTGAACTGTAGGATTGAATCATAACAACTCTCCCATAATTCTGCTTTGGCTGGAGCAGGTACTGGGTAGTGACCTTTTAGTATGTTATACGTGAAATGTAGCTGAAGTATACTTGAACAAACTTACCTGATAATTGTTGAGGTTAGTTTCAGTTGATTCAGCTTGCTCATCTGTAGATTGTGTCAAGAAGATGATGGCAATTGACTGGATAGGCCCCATTTCAGTTTCTTGCGTAAAATTTCCCAAGTAAAACTAATCGTTCATTAACATAAACTCTACTTGCATTATGTGTTCATTTCAATACAATAATTTTAAAAATAATTTAAAAACATATATATTAATTTTATACAAAGTCGATGTATTTTTTTCTGAGTTTTGTGCTTATGAGCTGTTTAACCATGTAACAGATATGCTCAGAACGGTTTCTCAAATGAAGCAATTATGCTGTTTAATGGAATGAAAGAGGCGGGAGTTAATCCAGATCAAATTACATTGATTGGAGTACTGTCTGCTTGTGCCTCTATTGGGGCCCTTCAGTTGGGGAAATGTGTTGATACATATGCATCAGAAAGGGGCCTACAACACAACATTTTTGTTGCTACTGCTTTGATTGACATGTATGCTAAATGTGGGAGCATAGAGAACTCATTAAGAGTTTTTGAAGGCATGCCTCTGAAAAATGAGGTATCATGGAATGCAATGGTCTCAGCACTTGCTTTTAATGGACGAGCCTTGGAGGCCTTGTCATTATTCGATTGCATGTTGAAGGATGGTAGGGATGTCCGTCCCAATGACATAACATTTGTAGGAGTACTTTCTGCATGTGTTCATGCTGGATTGGTTGATGAAGGCCGTCGGTTGTTTGACTTGATGAGCTCGTCGTTTGGGTTAATACCGAAAATTGAGCATTACTCTTGCATGGTTGATCTTTTGGCACGTGCAGGACATGTTCATGAAGCTTGGGATTTTATTGAGAAGATGCCTGAAAAACCAGATGAAATTGTACTAGGGGCAATGCTTGGTGCATGTCAAAAGCAGAGAAATGTTGATGTCAGTCAACGGGTGATGCAACTACTTCTGGAAATTGAGCCTTCAAATTCTGGAAACTATGTAATCTCATCAAAAATATATCGGAATTTGAGAATGTGGGATGAGTCAGCAAAGATGAGGATGTTAATGAGACAGAGGGGTGTCAGCAAGACTCCTGGTTGTAGCTGGATCGAGATTGATGATCAAATTCATGAGTTTCTTGCTGGTGATGATATACGGCATTATTCAACTGAGATCTGCCAATTGTTTGACTTGCTAAATGAGGAAATGAAAAGGGAAGGTTACCTTCCAAAGGTTGATTGTTTATAACCATCGAGATTTGAAAGTTGAGAAATTGCTTTATTCACCAATATTTTTGGAAATTTAGAAACAAGCTTGGAGACTAGAGGTACTTAGCTTTAAGTTTGGGGAATTTAGGTAAATATTTCAAAGCTTTTTTAAGAACTTCTACAAGCTGGGAACAGTTGCCTAATTTTCAGCAATTCTCTTGTTCTCGACCCAGGTTGGAATGTAGTGTATCTTCCAACCATCGAGGCTGCAAAGAAGCCAGTTATCCCAAAGCATGATTCAAAGAGATTTTATATTTTGTACCGAAAGAATCATGGGAATTCAAGAGTCTTAGTAGCACAAGAAATATTGAAGATTTGTAAGTGAAAATTATGTGATCTTTTTTGAAAGATCTCTTTGGTGGCACAAAATAGCTATTTATAGTCTATGATGTCACTGGATTTGTAAGGTTACAACAAATTTGTTATTTGCTTCATCTTGAAGCTTCTAGCAACCATTTTGGAGAAGCTCGACAATTACTTGCCCTCTAGAGTCATTCATGCTCCACATATTGATTTTCTATGGTAAGTTGATCTATTATATCTATTTATATTGATTGAGCATTCTTTAGTTTTTTTAATTTTTTTTTTTTCATTTAAATTTATCTTTGCTTTTTGTCTCTTCTGGTTGTTTACCTTCAAATTAGAATAGGAGGCTGATTTAATTTTCCATGGCTATTCTGTAGTAGCATATGAGATCTTTTTGTTAATGGCGAGAAAAAACACATGAAAATCATTCAAAGTAGGTGAATAGTATACCATTCTAAGAAGGTGAAAATTAGACAAAGAAATTTGTATATTAATGCGATCTGAAAAAATTGATGTGATGAATTGCGGCTTTGTTGGTGTGCCCTTATTCTTGAGGCCACTCATTCAAAAGCCCAACCAAATAAAAGTATCAAATGTTACAAGTGTGTGTTGTGTAAGTGAAGTGGAGGAAAAACAGAAGAGAGGAGAGTGATAAGGCAGTTAAGAGTTGAAGCAATTGGGTTTCAGGGTTCTAATTATGATCTCAATCATTGTATGGTCAAATGATTTTCATTTTCATTCAAATTTGACGGGTTGATTCTCAGTAATTTGCTCTACATCTCTACCTCTTTCAATTTCTCATTTACCCTTTTTGTTGTGTTATTTGTTACACCCTTTTACTTAGAGACAAGAACTTACCTTTTTTGTTCCTCTTGTTAAAATTTGTTTTACTTGCTGATGAGATTGTGTTGATAACTGAGAGAGAAATGATCTCTTTTTAGTTTACTGTTGATTGGTAAGCCTCTAATATTGTATTAGGGGTGTAACATAATATTATTGTATAGTGGAGATTTTAATATCGTTCTAGGGTCTCCGTGATTCTTCTTGTTTTGGATTTTTTGCATGAATTTTGTGTTTCGGTGGTGGATGTTTTGATTTTGGCTTGGATTACTATTCTTGATTCTTTTGATATTTCTATTTATGTTGAATTGGTTGGTATATAATTCCATTTTGATTATACAAGGGTAAAAAATTTTAATTCCTCATTAGTTGTTTTCTAGCAGGCTCATACTTTGTCTTGGGTCCATGAACAACTGTATTAGCAACTACACCAATAACTTGTTCAGAAAGAACGGGCATAGATTCGGAGGAAAGGTTCATACTTATTTGATGTATACAAATAAATATAAAGATCTCCGTCTTTTAAATTGACGATCTTTTTTCTTCGGAAGTTCAACATGATACATTTGGATGTTCCAGTGCACACCGGGTTCATATACTCACAAACCTTAGAAGGCTATGGCTCATTGGATCCTGGATTTGCAGCAACATATGAATTTCTACAAGATGTAAGCTGAAGTTTTTGCATTTCAATTATATGACTGCATAGTGCCAATTTCCGAAGTTATTTGTTTTTCCATTAAATTATTTGTTATTCAATTGTTTGTGCAATAAATCTGTCTAGACAGCTTCTGCTAACAAAAATGAAAGGCTGTTTTCCTTTCAAGTACTAAAAAAATTCATAATCATCAAGAGGCGTTGGTGGGTTTAATCAACTTGATTCCTTCTGACGTTTTATGTATTTTTGTCTTTTTTTTCTCTATCGATTTAAAATTTTTAATCAAAATCTTTTTAAACTTTCCCATCGGCTAAATAGGCACAAATTTACATAGACTTATATGAATTTAATAGATGGTGAAAATGTGTTTAATTGTTATTCTAAAAGAGTTTTTATTTAGTATTTTGTAAGTTATAATTTTTATATGTCCATAAACCTAAAAAGCGAGAAGCTCATGGAAGAAGAATGATGCCTTTTTTATGAAGCACAACTTATTATATAACGGGTTTGTTTGGTACATTATTTAAAATAATATTCTATTCTGAATAGGATATGATAGAATTTTGAGAATGTATTTAGTACATTTTTAGAAAACATTTTCTGAATATATTTAGATTATTTTTTAACCTCTACATTTGTCATTTTAGCTAAACACCCCTCACAACAAAAGTTTATATATTAACAAAAGCATCTCCACCCATCCAATCGATTGCCGGCAGTCGGCCACAACCGTCGGACGGTGGCCAAAAATTGTCAGAATGGATCTGACCAGTCGTGCGTCGATCTAGTCTTTTCTGGCCAGGTCAATTGTGTATCTGGTCGTTAATGGATTTTTGGCCATCGTCAACAGCCAAAATCTGGTCATTGTCGACGACCAAATCTCTACAGCCATAATATGGATGTTGTTCTAGTTGTAGATCTGGTTGTTTTCGGCTAGATCCATGGTGGATCTAGCCGGAAACGTCTAGATCGGTTCACAATTGGTTAGATCTAGTCGATCATGCATCGTTCCAGCACCGGTAGTGGCAGTGACGGCAACTGGCAGTGGTTGCTGACAGGCGACTGTTGCTTGGGTGGATATGAGTGTTTTTGTTAATTTATAAACTTTTGTTGAGAAATATAATTATTAAATGTTTTAAGTTGAATATAATAAGATTGGATTTTGAATTGGATAGTCAATATTAACACAAGCATGTTTTGAACTTTTTAGGATAGAATATTAGAATAAAATAGAGTTTGAAAAGTTAAACAAACAGGGGGATTAATTTTTATTACATATTTGTCCTTGAGATGGAGTAGCTAATAAAAAATAGAAGGGGGACTCGTAATTAATATTAGAATATTTAAAATATAAAAGTAAAATATTAAGAGAAATGAGAAATCACACTCTTAAATGCATATAAAATAAAATATAACCAACATTCACTCTTAGGCTTTGTTTTGTTGGTGGTTATCCCCCGTTATTAAGGTAATGTCATCTTGTACTATTTATATTATCATGTTTAGTTGTCAAGTAATATAAGATTCCGGTAATTTTTCAAAATCAATAATAATTATTGCTAGTTATATAGGTAGTAATTCGAATACCACAATTTTCTTAGGTATTTTAAGATTACTTAATAATCTTAATTTTGTTATAATTTTATCCCTAACTATTAAAATTTTTGGACAATAATGTCATTGTTTTAAAAGCAATTTACAAAAATATTTATGTACTATTTTATCCTTATATACAAAATTTTTAGGGCATGAATACCTTGAACTTAAAAACAATTACCCAAGACTGGTGATCGGATTTGGCCACCATCGGCGGCGATCGACCACCACCACCGGCTGTGATTGGAACGTTGCACGACTGGTTAGATCTGGTCGGCCGTGCGCTGATTTGGCCGGTTGTGCGCCATTCTGGTCGGTGGTGGTGGCTGACAACGGCTTGGGTGGCTGGGGCTTTTTCGTTAATTTTTAAACTTTTATTATGAGGGTGTTTTTAGCTAAATTCTCAAATGTAGGAGGTTAAAATAATCTAAATAATAATAATAATATTAAAATAATTAAGTAATCTATATAACATACATACCAATTTATTCCTTCAAACCAAACATATCAATATAACATACCCACTAATTTATTCAAATGTAATCAAACGCATTTAATAAAACATTTCCAATAATTTTCAAGGTAAGTTGTCTTCCCTTTAATATAACATTCCTTGAATCAAATGCACCCTTTAATGCATATTAATTAACTTGACAGACTCTCTTTGCTTTACCATGACATATTAATTTATGGGATGACTTTGTATATTCACTTTATTATTTATATTTAATTACGTTATTTTGTATATAGGTCTTCGTATGAAAACTATGTAAGTGTAGCATTATTTGATTTTAAAACTAAAGGGTTACTTAATATCATCCTAATACTCGTAAGATTTTAAAATTGTTTTACAAATTTGTGAGTGAAGGCAAAAATTGACCCTTGTAAAAAGAAATTAAATAATAATGGGCAATTTTCCCCTTATTTGTTAATTATAGTACGGTTAAAAAAAAAAAAATGTGAGCAAAGGGCACGTTGCCCCTTGCAATTTCCTCATAAATTTGAAATAAAATATTCGTGATGGTTCTGGAAAATGAAGAGACGAAGCCATGCATCATCTGCAAATTGGCTTCGTCTCTCTAATTTCCCTCATAAAATTAGCAATTTACGTGAAATTAGATTGATTTATCTTAGTTAAATAAAGTTACATAAGGTTTTGAGGTCCAAGTCTTTGGATGATTTATTGATTTAGTTTACACAAGGTTGGATTTTGGTTGATAATTTTGTGATTGAGAAGTGATGGTGACGGTGAGAGTAAGAGGTTTGTGTTGCAAGATAATTTGGGAAAGAAGTGATAATAAGATTTATAGGGTTATATGCGGAGAGTATGTAAATCATTAAAGTAGTTGGGTGGGTATTTTGGATAGAGTTTGAAGATTTTGAATGAAGTATTTTGACAAAGAAAAAAATTATATAAATAGGCTATTGACAAAACGCCTTTTTCATTGAAGAATTGGAATGTTGTAATTCGTTGTAAAAAATAGGGATGAGCGGTTTTGGGTATCCTGTATTTTTTTTAAGGAACCGAAATTGAAACTGGCCGGTTTCTAAGATTTGAAACTGGAACTGAAACCAGTCGATTTTGGTTCTTGGAAACCTAGAACCTAAACCTGAAACATAGTTTCCAGTTCTGGTTACCCAAGTTAATTTATTACTCCCCTAATTTTTTTAAAAATGATAAATACACTCCCAAAAATTACAATTGCACCGCTAATAGTTTACAAAAATTATAATCCAGTCTCATTCCTACACGGGTACCCGAACCTCTGTTCCGGTTTCGATTCCGATTCCAGTTCTGGTTTCTATTTTGATTCCCGATTCTAGTCTTATAGGAATCAGAACTGGATCTGGGAATTCTCGGTTTCAATTTTCTAGATCCGGAACCAGACCCTGATGAGGCAAGTTCTGGGTTCCCACCCATCAGTTTCGGTTCTACCTTTTACCCATGCTCACCCCTAGTAAAAAAACATTGGTTCAAATTGGTTGTCGTAAGGGTGTGTATGGGTCGAGTTTTGCTAAACTCGATTCGAACCAAAATAAATGCAAGTAGAAAAGAAAACTCTAAACCTATTCGTTTTTATAAGAAACCCAAACCAAACCAATTTTAAATCGAGTTGGTTCGGTTTTGGTTAATTGGTTTTAATTTATATAAAATTATTTTATTTCTTTGTCAAGTTTATATCAGTGTTTTGAAACCTGACTCGGGGTGTCACCCGACCAAGGGGTCGAGTCCTAGGTTGATCGGTCCGACCGGTTAAACCAGGTATCGGTGATCCAACAAGTTTGAAATCTAACAAACATACCCTTGAAGAAAATGCACCAGTCCTTGCAGGTTTGAAGTCCAACAAACACACCATTGTGATTTGACCGCACAGTTAGGGTTTTGCTTTTCTAGGCCAAATTCCGAGTGATTCTAGTGGTCAAAATTCAATGCAACACCACCACCTGAATCATTGGCCTCCACTCTACAAAACTCCTCTAACCCCAACACTTGGTAGCCCTCTGTTTGTTGGTTGTGACTCTCGTATACCATCATGATTGGGTTGATTTTTCTAGCCAAAATTCGGTTGATTCCAACGTCAAAATTCAATCCGACACCACCACTTAAACCACCAGCCTCCACTTTATAAAACCCTTCTAACCCTGACACTTGGTAGCCCCTGTTTGCTAGTCGTGACTCACGTATATCATTGTAATTGGATTAATTTTTTCACCTAGATTCTGGCTATTATTGACACTAGGGGGTGGGCGATGGTTAGACAAGGGTGGGGGGTGAGGTAGGGGGCGCCAAAAAGTGGCTAGAGGTTAGGTTATGGATTTTGAAACAGTGAAAAGTGGTAACCCGACTTGGAGAAGGCCCTGGCTCTTGATTCAATCGGTAAAACCAGCTACGTCGGGTCGGGTTTCAGAATAGTGGTTTATATTGCATGTCAATTAAGATTTTATTTTTCAATACAATTAATGTTTCTAATTAAAAATATGTCAAATTTTGATTAAGAATCTTAAGCTTATAATTTCTCGACTTTAACAATTACATAATAAGCACATGTAATAGGCTAATTAATGATAAAATGCTATATTTGGTTAGAGATGGCAATGGGCCCGACATTTTTGGGTATCCGGCCCGAAAGGGGCGGGCTTTACCTGAGGTTGGCAGGCTTGGGCTTGGGCCTGGGCTTGATTTTAAGGCTTGACCTCGGGTACGGGCCGGGCATGGGTACATATTTAGGCCCGCCCGGCCCAGCCCGTCCTGAAAATTTTAGTATTAATTTTACTAATTTACCCTTATACTATATATTTAATTGCAATATTATCCTATATATATTTATTTTTTCCAAACCCTAACCTCAATTTTTATCCCATATTGAAGGTTTAACATGTTAAAATTGCCTTTAAATGAGTTAGATGGGTTTGGTTCAACTTGTAAAAGTGGATTTCACCACAACATATTATGCACAGCTGAAAAGTCAGTATAATCAAATATTATGGAGTTTTAATTGCTCAATTATTGCTTAAATTATTTGCGGAAATAGCTTCAATTAATATTTAAAAACTATTTCTAAAATTAAAAATAAAAAAAATTGAAATTTATTAATATTTAAAAATAAACATTATTAAAAAAGGCGGGCTTGGGCCGGGCCTATGGTTATAAAAAACCCGTCGGGCCAGGCTTGGGCTTTGCCTATCATACCCGTAGCGGGCTCGGGCCAGGCTTGGGCCTGTGTCATGAGATCGGGCTTGGGCCTGGGCCAAGGGGTACCCGGTCCCGCCCGGCCCATTGCCATCACTATATTTGGTTTGGGTTTTTTGGGTCGAAGAGTAATCCCATATCAATCCGTTCAAATTTTTGGTTCGATAAATCCGACCCACACGGAAGCGGTTTGGGTTTTCGGGCCCTTAGTTGGTCATCAACTCATCATACTTGAACCCAAACCCGACCCGATTAAGGGTCATGACTATAAAAGCCGCAAGTACGGAGCTCGACAGTCGGGGGGGTTAACTAGGGTTTCATTATCTCATTATCGCATCGTCTTCCTATCGAACCGCAACTATGACCGCTCAAACTCAAGAAGAACTCCTGGCTGCCCATCTCGAACAAGAAAAGCTCAACGTAAGCCAATCCCAAAGCTCTTTCTTTTTTATAACCCACTACTTAATGTCATTTGCAATTTTCTTTTTTTAATTGTATCGTTTGCCGCCAATAACCTCTTTTTAATTTCTGGATTTGTAAGGTTTAATTATTGATGGAATTAGTGTAAAATGTTTGCCGATGTTTAGCTTGGTTAAAATCAAAAAGTAAAATTATACATTTTCAGTGGAATGAATTGAGTACTTATTGGGCAAAATTATCAGTTCATAGAGTATTTAAAAAGTGTTCATTTTATGCTCCTTTGATGCTTTGGTTGATTTAAAAACCTAAGTGAAGAGTTTTTTTTTTTTAATTTTTTTTTTTTTTTTTTGGTTGTGGGTGTTGTAAAGATATGATTTGTGGGTCAGGATTTGACGGTTTGTTGCACAATCTTTGCTTGCGTGGTGGATGCTTCATAGTAATGATGTTTTTTGCAGCCTGATGAGCCCGTGCTTGAGGATGATGATGATGAGGATGACGATGAGGAGGATGACGATGATGACAAGGATGAAGAGGATGCTGAAGGTAAGGGCTGAACACAAATATGGATTTTGTTAAGAGTTTTTGGCTGATTCTTTTGTTTCATTTGTTCCTATGTAAGAATTGCCTGAACATATTATAGCAGTTAGATGGTTTCATCTATGTAGATTTAGAGCATCGTTTTTAATGTGTCTGTCTGTCTTAGCTGTAGAGAAATATAGGTATTGTAAAGACAGTATGCAGAGTTCTTCAATACTAGCGTCACTTCTTATAAGTTGAATATAATAAATTAGATTTATGATTTTATGAAAAGTATAATAAACAAAAAAGAGATTTTTTTTTCCTAACTTGTTCTTTACAAACTTATGTTTTGCATAAATGTGATACTGCATTAAATGGTTTTGTTATTCTGGATTAAGAAGTTTGTCTTTTATGTCTGTTTTGACGGTGGATGGATAAACCTTGGTGCCAAGAATGTGAGATGGTGTTGCAAGGGTATGCAGTGTTACGCAAATGCTAGTACCAACTTTAAATGCTAAATAAAATGAATTGGATTATAATTTTCTTGGGAAACATTTAAGTACATAAGGGATTTGAATGTTTCAAGCAGGCACGAGAGAGCCCTCAGCAGACTATATACATAACAACATTTTATTAATACTCCAAATTTTTTTTGGAATCGTATCCACCTTTTCTAAATAGTTTTGATATTACTGCATTTATTGGATTTTAAGTACCTTTGCATTTCAATCGGACTCATGAATTAATCGGAAAATCATGGAGATGGAATTAGTGTACTTCCATGGATGCAGTGTGTATGTCAAAAAGAATCTATTTGAGGTACATAGTTATTAGAATTGGAAGTTGTAATTTATGCACATTATTCTGGTTGTAAACAATTATTAGCTTTATCATGTGTGAAGAACAGAACCATATGGTATGTGATCATTGTATTCACTGATTAATGGAAAATTGGGCACAATTTCACTGGTGATTTATTTTTTTTTTTTTATTTTTTTTTTAATATTGCAGGGAAAGGGGATGGAAGTGGTCGATCCAAGCAGAGCAGGAGTGAAAAGAAGTCTCGCAAGGCAATGTTGAAACTTGGAATGAAGCCAATTCCAGGAGTCAGTCGTGTAACCGTAAAGAAAAGCAAAAATGTTCGTGTTTGAATTGCTGCCCTACTTTTTGTTTCTTTCAGTTTAGTTTAGTCAGATTTCTGTGTAAACTAAACTCTTATGCTTTTTGCATTTCAGATTCTGTTTGTTATATCAAAACCAGATGTTTTCAAGAGCCCAACATCAGAGACGTACATTGTTTTTGGGGAAGCGAAGATCGAAGATCTAAGTTCGCAACTGCAGACTCAGGCTGCAGAGCAGTTCAAAGCTCCTCCTGCCAATTTGGCTAATGTGGTTTCAAAGCCCGAGTCATCGACCATGGCACAAGATGACGAAGAAGTAGATGAGACTGGTGTGGAGCCAAAGGACATCGAGTTGGTCATGACACAAGCTGGGGTGTCAAGATCAAGGGCCGTGAAAGCACTCAAAGCTGCAGATGGTGACATTGTTTCAGCCATCATGGAACTAACAAATTGATTGTCACTTCGTTGAATATGTTCTGCTGGGTAGTCATTTAAGGATGGTTTCTTTTTGGCGTTGTTACTCTTGGATGATTGGGGTTGCAGATTTTGAATATTTATTATTAATCTGTGTTTTCTAGTTCTCTTTTACTTCTGTATCAACATGAATCAGTGTTGGATGAGCACTTGTGCTATATTTTATTCTTGGAAGCAATATTTTAAACCCAATCCGGGGTGAGCGGTTTGACCCTTGACAAAACTTTAAAAATTCAGTAAATACACATTTGAAAATTATAGTTAAATCCTTATAAGTTTGAAATTTAGCAAACCCGACTCAAATACAAATCGGTTGATGATGTTCGTGGCGGCAACACTTCAAATGCAATCCAAATCGTCTCTTGAGCCTATTCCCCAAAAATCCTATTGAAGATGTGGTTGAAATTTGTTTGATTTCGGTTAGATTTTACCAATGTCGGCTTTGACATTCCAAGTTAGATCTCACTGACGTCGGTGTTGATAACCCTGTTTTAAAAACCGGACTGGACCGATCGGTCGGTCAGACCGGTTGGACCGGGAACCGGTAGTTTCTCCGGTCCGGTTTAGGTCTCAGGGGGGTTTTTGAAATATTTTAAAATTATGAGGGTTACCTTGTCATTTTATAGGGGTATTTTAAAGATATATCAAAAGCTTAGGGATTAATTGGTTATTTTATTGGGGAATTTTTGGAATAAATAAAAATTTTAGGGACCAATTTAAACTTTTTTAGGGGAATTTTTGTAATATATTGAGATTTAAGGGGTTAATATAAGTTTTTAAAAATAAAATATTGCTGACATCATCGGTCCAACCGGTCGGACCGATTGAACCGTGACCAGGACAGCAAAACGGTTTGTCCTCCGGTTCGGGTTTTAAAACAATGGTTGATAACACTCTTTATCATCCCGAAAATACTCCCCTTTTCCTCCAGACCAAAACCCACCTCGCCAATCGTTGGTTGTTTTTGCCACCCCTTTTTTTCGATTTCTTGTCGATTTACTCATTGGAAATTAACTTCGCCGCCACCATTACACTTACCGACATTTTCTCATCAACAATCCCAACATTCCGACCTTTAATTGTTCGTCGATCATCATCCTAAATTCTAGATTTTGGATAAATAGAAAAAATGTCAACCCGGCCCGGTGAAGCTCTTGGTTAAACCGGACAGATCGGGTCAGGTTTTAAAACAGTACTTGGAAGTATGTAGCTTGGTGTACGTCTAGTTACAATTTCTACTAACGAAGCGAGCCCATGCGGTTGAAAAGATTTTAGCAAGATACAATGAATACACAGAATATTCAACAATTATGCAGTTGGCCAAAGCTTCTAATCTAACTCGAGTCCTTAACATCCTTAAAAAAACAGTAATCAACTTCATAAAATGGCATATCTCAAACACTTACTAGATGGCAAAAGCAAATGGGAGTATTGAAATTTGAAATATCAATTTATTGAACTTTATGTGAAGTTCATTTTGCGAGCCTCACTAAACTGCTTCAATTTTATGCATCTCAAAACTCAGTTAACATAACATTAAGATTAAGTCTTGATGGGCTTCCTGACTTGCTCAAGACATTAAGCTTTCAATCTTGTCATTTAGGGCCTAAATTTCCATCGTGAACATAGAAGAAATTACATATATATATTGGATATTAAATTCAACAACTTAAAGATATCATTTCTCATAAACAACGGTTCTAAACAATTGCAACTTCACTTAAAAGTATCAATGACTTAAATGGGCTAGACGTTCTAAAAGATAATGCTTAGCCTCCAAATAAATTTCATGGTGTTTTACCAATGAAATTTTTTGTTTATCTTTTCTACAAACTTTCGATCTGGTTGATAACAGTCTCGTTGGAACCATACTAGATGTGTCACTAATTCTACTGTCATGGTGAAAATATGCTAGTATAGAATATCCTTTATTTTACGGGTGGTTTTGTTAATGAAGATGGAAACCCTGTGATGAATGGGGAAATGGCTGAACATAGGCATTGTTCTTAATTTGGTAAGAAGTATAGACCTTTCCAAATACAATTTCTTTGGAGAGATTCATATCAAATCATTGAAACTGTCGCATAAATCTTTCACAAGAAGAATTTCTTGAAACTATTTGTGCTATGACATTTAAAGAATCCATTGGTTTCTTTAGAAGTCAACTTTCAGGTCCTTTATTTATCAACAGAAGACGAAGGTATAAGTATTGTCATTTTTACATCAACGGGGATAAACTTTATTCTTTGTACTAGATCCTTGATGATTTGAACTATGTTATTGTGTAGTGGAAGAGAGAAATGAATATCGAGATAAGGATAAGGATATTGTTTTCATTCAAAGGAGTCTTGTTCCATGTTACATTTGATCTTTCTTACCAGAGGTTGTTAACTATTATTATTTGAGACATAAAGATAATTATTCGATCGTTTCTGGTATTTCTTACATATTTATACAAAATTAATTTCATTGATGTAAATATAAAGGCATATCAAAGACACATCAGAGATACAGCATTAGAAAGTGCCCAAATGATAAATCATTAACGTTGTTGAAAACTGCGGCAAGTGACTTGATCTTGATTACGAAATTATTGACAACCCTCAGAATTCTCCTCTCCCTTCACCAAGTTATTAAAAGATAGTAAGATTATTGCTTAACAAAAGTCCAATTTATTAATTAAAGGAATTAAATTAAATTATTGCAAAGATTTGAAATTTCTAAATTAGTACCCTTCTCATGTATCAGTATTCAAATTTTGGTCTTTGGGACCCGTTAGAGGGAGGCTCTTTGGGAGTAAGCTCTGCGCGCGTATATTTATTGTTTTGCCTGTACTATGTTAATTTTGCCAAGTGTATGACCAAATTTCCGCTCTACTCTTGTGAGTTTCACATGGATATGACAAGTTTATTCCCCTGGGTACTTGGTTTTATGTAAGCATGCCAATTGGATTTGTGGTGGGCTTCGGCATTTGAGGAATTAGTTAGACAGATGACTGAAGCTCTAATGTAGAGCCACCATGATTTTCTGAAAGCTTTTCAAGTAGCTTTGTGATGCATTTGGAGTAGGGATAGGTAGTGTTTTGAGTCAACATACAAGGGCACTCTATGCCTTATTACTTTACTGAGAAACTTAATTGATATTAAACAACAATAAACCATTTATGATCATCCTTAGGACTTTATATCATTGGCAGTAGTATTTTTTTTTTTTTTTACCATGTGAGTTTGTCCTTATCTCTGACTATCATTCTTTCAGTCACAAAAACGATTGAATGAGGGACATGTGGCATGGATTGAGTTCCTTCTGATCTTTATTTACCTTTATCGTTAGACATCATCTTGGTAAAGATAGTAAGGTGATGATCCACTTAGTTATGTTGTCTATGTCCTATTGACCATGATGGACAAAATTGTAGGGTTGATGAAATGAAATTTGAGTAAACCTCTTGCCTAGTTTTCAAACTCATCTATCAAAAGATTTTAGCAGGTTATAGCCGAGATAGTTTGGAATTCGTTATTCACGATGGTTACCTTTTTCGAGGAGCTCATTGTGCATTTCTTATATATCCATGAGAGACTTCGTAGTTTGGGAGATCCATGTAGGAGGTTTAACTAGCCATTAGGGAGAGATACTTGACGATAGGTTATATAATATCGACCCTATATATCTTTACAAACAAAATCTATTCTCAATATGGTCTTTTGTCTCTTATAATAATATTTTACTTATAATTAAGTCATACAAATAAACAGAAATTATACAAAATTTATGTAAAATAATTATTTTATCTTTTGTTTTTTATCTGTTTGTATAACTTAGTTGTAAGTATAACATTGTTGAATTTTTTGGATGACCATAATGTGGGCTTTATGGTCTGGGAAACTTACTCGATGTGTGGTAACTGGAAACGTGCCAAAATTTTCCATTAATTTAGGTGGCTTGGGGCCATGATCTTCAAGAGTGATATTTGTGTCTTTAAATATTAATTTAGCTAATGATTTTTAGCCCTTACCTCCTCTTTGATTAGCCTTCATTTAATTATATAATTTCATTTTGATGAATTTAACCTTAAATATAAATAACAAATAAAAGGAAAATTATATACACCCAAGTTCTCTTAACTCCCCATTTCAATAAAATAAAATTTATATTACAAATTATTAATAAAATAGAAATTCAATGTCTGCCATATATAAGGCGCGTGCTGTTCCACTAAATGGTGATAATACTGCAACTGAAGATGTTTTAGATCCTTGATTTTGGTGCAGCTGAAATTCTCCGTGTTTGATTCTGGTAGGAAAATAGTTTGTGTAGAACAATTTTTTTAGAGTAATCTTTACAGATTATGGTGGATTGTACTGTCGAAAATGCTCCAGGGATCATTCAGTGCAATACAGAGCTAAAGTGCAGATTAGGATTAAAATGAATATGAAGTTGTGCCTTGCTGATTGTTTTGAGATGTTCCCAACTTGATTGAAGTCCCAAATTTCCTAAAACAATTCAAAGAAATTTATTTATTTCTATGGCAGAAACTACAGATGGAAAGTAAAATGATAGAGTAATATTGTAGTGAAAAAATGGTATTGACAAGCATATAAAAAAAGTGGTGTTATTTAAGCCCCACTAAATCTCTTTGGAAGCCCCAATAATCATTAAAATCATTTTAACAATTAAATTTATAATTATTTTATATTTCATTCCATAATTGTTCTTCTCTAATATTTTTCCTTCCAAATTTCTTTGTTAACCCTGTTATCCCTATTTGTTTTTCTTGTGCTAAATTTCAGTTGCCATTTTTATTTTTGATAAAATCTCAGTTTGCTTCTCTTAGACAACATATTTCCTGTCCAAATTCTTATATAGAGTATTTTTATCCAAATCAACTTCAATTTCCATGAGAACTAAGAAAATGAAAGAGTTTTTACCTTGCAAATCAATTAGCATGGGATGACTATTAAAATAATTTTTGTTTTTCATTTTTCTCCTATATATGCAAAAATTAACTGTTGTTTAAATAGGGTTAAACAAAATCTCCTAAATCAAACCCTAAACAAGAACAATTACTGAGAATATTCAATATTATTTTATTTCAATTGTTTGAATCCACCTTCCATCTTTTCAAAAATATATTAATCATGACTATATAATGATCCGTTTCCAATAGATTAGAGTGAGTTTAAACGCATCAA